AAGCAAAGAACTTGAATAGGTATTTCTGCAAAGAAGATACCAAATGGCCAGTAGGAATATAGAAAGATGCTCAACATCACTAATCATCAGAGAAATGCAAATCAAAACCAAAGTCAGCTATTGCAGTGAAAATCTGTGATCTCAGCACTCTGGCAGGCTGTGGAAGGATTGCAAGTTCAAGCCTAGCTTGGGCAACATAATAGATTCTGTCTAGAAGGAAAAAAGGGAAGGAAGGAAAGGAGGGAGGGAGGGGGGCAAAAAAGGGAGGGATGAATGGATTGTACTGGGGACAGAGCTCCATGAGAAGGCCTCAGCTTCAGTCTCCTGAACTGAAAACAAATCAGCAAGAAATCATGTACTTCTCACCCTCAGAATGTATATTATAAAAAACAAAAAATAACAAGGCCCTTAGCTTACCCTAAGGGTAAGGATGTGGAGAATTTCTCCATGTGGCAAGGATGTGGAGAAACTAGAATGTTTGTGCACTGTTGCCAGGAATGTAACATGGTGCAACCACTGTAGAAAATAGTATGGCATGTCCTCAAAAAGATAAAAGAATTATCCTGGCCCTGAATCAAGGCCAGCACTTCCTGGTGCTGTTGGTTTCAAGCAGGAGCCTAAAGAGATGTCTTTCTTTTTGGTGTTTTTATCAGTACCGGGGACACGACTCCCTGCTTGCAAGGCAGGTGCTTATGCCCCTGAGCTAAATCCCCAGCCCTTAAGAGATGTCTTTCTATGATCTGTTGGCCATTTCAGAACTTGGGCAGTGAAATGGTCAATTCATTAGAAAGAAACACCTTGAAGCAACCCCTTCACTCTGCTCCCCATGAGTGGCTGTGAGCCTGGCAGGCACAGGTGGCCCAGGATGTGAGCCACTGGCATTTACTGGGACCTGTTCCCTGCTGGGACCAGGAGTGCTGGGAGGCCAAGCAGCCCCTCCCCGCCTAGTGAGCAGCTGAGAGCGTGGCAGGCAACGGTGGCCCACAATGGGAGTCAATGGCGTTTACTGGGACCCATGCCAGCCTGGGACCTGGAGCACCCCGGAAACCAAGCGACCCCTCCCCCCTGCCTGTTTTGTTTTGTTGAACTTCAATATACATGAAAGTATGGACAGCTATTTTGAAGAGAACAAGAGACTCTATGACAGCCATTAGTGACTTTCCTATTGTCTGGTCTTAAAGACCTAAATCGCCTTCCCCATTCTATTCAGATCAGTTTTATACTATGTTGTTTTGTATGAATTCTCTGTATGCAAAGACATGGACAACTATTTAGAAGAAAACAAGAGACAATATGATAGACAGTAAAGATTTCAGGTTGTCTAGCTTTGAAATGTATATCTCTTACATTTCTTTCTTGTGTCCTATTTTGTTCTGTTTTGTTGTGTTTAATTTTACCCCCTTTAAAATAAAAAAGCAAAACAAAACAAAACAAAAAAGTAGAATTATCATGTGACCAAGTAATTCTGTTCTATTTGTGTATCCAAAATAATTGAAAACAGAAACTTAAACAGCTATTTATACACCAATATTCTTAGCAGCATTATTCATAATAGGCAAAAAGTAGACACAGTGGGGGCTGGGAATTTAGCTCAGCGGCATAAGCGCCTGCTTTGCAAGCAGGCAGTCATGAGTTCGATCCCCGGTACCGATAAAAAGGAAAAAGACAGAAAAAAAAAAAAAGTAGACACAGTATAGCGTTCATCAGTGGAAGAATGGATAAACAAAATGTGCTATGTAAGCATGAACTTCTGCATAGATGAACCCAGAGGATATCACATTAAGTAAAATAAGTCAGACACAAAAGGACAAATACTATATATTTTACTTTATAGCGGGCTCTAAGAATGACCAAATTCAGAAAGTAGAATGATGGTTGCCTGTAAGTGAGGAAATGAAGTAAAGGGCATTACTGTTAGTAGGTACAGGCTTTCAGTTTGGGAAAATGGAAAAAAGCTCTGGAAATGAATAGTGATGAGATTATACAACAGTGTGGATGCACTTAATCTTACTAAACTATACACCTAAAATGATTAAACGGTAGCTTTTGTGTTCCCTTGCTCTCTGTCTACTTCTCTCTCTCTCTCTCTACACACACACACACACACACACACACACAGTAGCATTGCTGGATCGGGATTGGACACTAAACCTAGGGTCTTCACACCAAGCTACATCCCCAGTCTTTAAATTTAAAAAAAAAAATTTCAGGCAGCACTGCCCTGAATTGCCCAGGCTAAGTTTAAATTTGTAATCCTTTTGCTTTAATCTCCCAGAGTACTGGGATTACAGAGGTACACAACTGCAGCTGGATCTTACTATAATTTTGAAAATTAGCTTTCCTTTTCTGACATGGCATAGTACATTTGTGTGTTTTTACTTTTCTCTCTTGGAGTAATGTTTCTGACATCAAAGCATGGTTTCTGGAATTTTAACTATGCTTTTTAGGTAATAAACTTTTTATTGTAATTAGAGCATAGTGCCCCTAGATGTCACTCTTTAGCAAAAAACTCTTCTAGTTTCCATCAGTAACCGGTAAGTAATGGCAGGGCAACAGAAAAAAGCTTTCAACAGTTACTTTAGCTATACAAACACAGCTTTCTGAGAGAGAGTTTCCATCTGTGCAGTGTATTAATTAGCGGCTGTTGGTTATGAAACATTTGTTAGCATTTTTTTAGCTTCACAGGTACAATTTGGTTTTCAGTGTTAGTTGAACTAGAAAAAAAAGATGTAATTACCTTATAAGTAATAGAAGTGAAATCCAAAGTCATAAAGACCATTGAGCACTGAAAATCAGATGATTTGTTATATTATGGCTGAAAGATGTATAACCCGGAGCAAATCATTTTTTCTAATGCACGAGGGTGGTAAATGTTTCCTTTCTTAAGCCAATATTCATTAGTATATATTTAATATATACCATTATATATTTATACAAAGGATGATTGAAAGACACAATGAATTTTTAAATCAAAAAAACTTATTACAGAAAAAGATACATTTCTATGTATTGACATGGGGAAGGGTATTTTGAGGGGGATTAAAAGCAAAGTGGTTTTTATGGTGATACATTTTTTTAAGATTTAAACTTTCAGGGCTGGGGATTTAGCTCAGCAGCATAAGTGCCTGCCTTGCAAGCAGGCAGTCGTGAATTTGATTCCCGGTACCGATAAAAAGGAAAAAGACAAAAAAAAGAAAAAATTTAAACTTTCACTGTATTTTATGGTCACACCAAATTGTTTATGACAGTTTCTGTCAAATAAAAACATTACAGTGTTCCCATCCACCTTACTCACCAGATCTGCCATCATGCAACTCCTAGCTTTACCCCAAAGTCAAAATGACCATGAAAGGCAAATATTTCAAGTCAGTTCTGGACATCAAAGTGGCCACAAGAGCACAAATAAAGATACTTATCCAACAGAACTTCAAGAACTGCTTCAAAAAGTGGGAAGAAAGGGGATTTCTATATTTTCATACAATATATTCTTGAAAGATATTTTCTATTACTGAGCTCCCACTGGTACTATGTTTGAACAATTACAATTCGATTACTACCTTTTTTTTTTTTTTTTTGTCCTGGGTATTGAACTCAGGACCTCATGCTTGCCAGGCAGGTGCTGTGCCACTGAATTATATCCCTAGCCCTTGATTACTACTATTAAAACCAAAGTACTGCCAGGTGTGGCGGCACACACCTATAATTCCAGTAAGCAGTAGGCTGAGACAGGAGGATTGCTGTGAGTTTAAAGTCAGCCTGGGCTACATAGGGAGACCCTGTCTCAAAAAACCCTAAATAAGTAAGTAAATAAATAAAACCAAAATACTTTATAGAATTAGAAGACTATGAAGTGTGATAAAAAGTGTGTTAAAAGTTTTTAAAATGTATTTCAGTGAAAGACACATTGCCCTGATCCCTCCCAAAATACTTCCCTTCGCCTTGAACACAATTCAAGACCAGCCTGAACTAGATAATGAGACACTGTCTCAAAAAAGGAACAAAATAATCAGAGGTGTGAACTTTGTCTCCTGCTGGGAACAGACTGAATCCTGGGCATTGCACTTGCTAGGCAAAGTACTCTTCCACTGTACTACACCCATAGCCTCTAGGTATGAACTTTTGAAATTAAAACATCTTATTTAGTATGGAGAACATTTTAAAAAAGATATTGGAATATGCTTGTCATTAAAAAATGACTGATTAAATATAAAAATTTGAAGATTCAAAAACAGATTAATTCTTTTTTTTTTTTTTTGGTCTTTTTCGGTACCAGGGATCGAACTCATGACTGCCTGCTTGCAAGGCAGACGCTTATGCCACTGAGCTAAATCCCCAGCCCCCAAAATACATTAATTCTTAACCTATACCTGTAATCCCAGCTATTCAGAAGGCTGAAGCTGGAGGATCACATGTATGAGGTGAGCCTGAGCAATTTTTCAAGATCCTAGCTTGGTAAAAGGGCTAGGAATGTAGATTGGTGGTACAGTACTTCCCCAGAATGCTCTAAGGCCCTGGGTTCAACATCCAGCTTGGTGGGGGAATCGAACCCAATTTAATTTTTGAAAGACATTTGTAATATTTAAAATAATTAAAAGCTCAAATACCCAGTCATAGTGAACTATTAGACACTATGATATGTTAACAAACTTGGGTATCATATTTTTATTAGTACTATTTATTAGAATTATTAGAATAAGAAAGATTGAAACGATAGGTGAAAATACAGCACCCATGGTATGAAAAACATTGAAAACAGCGTGATTGTGTAGTGTCTGTTTAAGAATATTGTTTACTTAATGCTTTTATTTAAACACAGATCTTTAACTCTGATGATTAAATGTATAAATGGAAAGTTTTGTTAACATTTGCAGTGGAATCAAAATACATACAAGGTACATATTTCATGTTACAGGCTGCTCCTAGCATTCGTGTGTGTGTGTTGGGAATTCAGGCGCGAGAAGGCTGGGAGTGGCATAGTGAGGGAGGTCCCTTCTGTCCCAAGGATAACACATTGATTCACAGCGAATGGGCTGAAAGAGACGCTGGCTTTATGTAGTCACTTCCTCTATCCTAGGAAGGTTCCACCACCTCTCCCAGAACTCGGTAAGTTCAAAGCACAGTAAAACTGCACGTTTCTAAGGATTAATACAGAATGATTTGGATGGTGGAGACTGGAGGCGGCAAAGGTAGCAATTATCAGGCATTATTTTGCTATGGTGTTTGCATGGGGAAGAAAAAAGTCTCAATGCACAAATGACTTAAAAATAATTATTTAACCGACAAGCTGTTTCCCTCTAGGAAAGCTCTCCGGAGGGGTGTCTCGAAGTCTGCCGCCGCCCGCTGGGGAAATGCAGCAGGTTCCGGAAGGTCTGGAGGGGCGTTCATAGGTGTCTGCGCTGAGCAAAGGGCAGCGCCCGCCTCGGTCAGCAGCTCCCTCTCTGCTTGCGTCCGCAGATCAGGGACGCGCTTCACCTCGACCCGCCTCCACCACAAGCACCCCGGGACCCCAGCAGAGTGCAGCGCGCACACCGTTGGCCATGAGTCCTCTGAGGCTGCGAGCGACGCTCTCGCTTCTGCTGCTGTCGGGCGGCTGCCTGCTCGCGGCTGGCGCGAGGGACCAGGCGGCGGCTGGCAGCGCGGCGCAGCGGTCCTCGGGGCGCTTCGTGAGCCCGGAGCAGCACGCGTGTAACTGGAAACTCCTGCTGCCCGCCCCGGGGGCCACCGCCGGCGGCGAAGTGGGGCTGCGCTGCCTGGGCCCGGACGGGGCGCGCCACGAGTGCGCCTACCGCGGGCGGCCCGAGCGCTGCGCCGCCTACCGGGCCCGCCGCGCGCACTACTGGCACCAGGTGCTGGGCGCGCTGCGCCGGAGGCGGCGGCCCTGCCACGACCCCGCGCCGCTCCGGGCGCGCCTGTGCGCGGGCAAGAGGGGCCGCGGCGCTGAGCTGCGCCTCGTGCCCCACGCGGCCCCGCCCCACGGCCCGCCGCCCACGAGGTTTCCAAATTGCCCAGGCGCAGGGCCGGGCGCCGGGGAAGGCCCCTGAGCTCGCTGCCCCAAGAGGAAGCCTCTGAGCAAGAGGAAAGCGGGCAGGAGGAAGGCGGCCTCGGAGCCGGGGGAGGAGACACGCGTGGGGACCGGGCCCGACCCCGACCCCGACCCCGACGGGCTGGACGGGAACGCGGAGCTCGCGGAGACGTACTGCGCTGAGAGGTGGCACTCAATCTGCAGCTTTTTCGTCAACTTCTGGACCGGTTGAGGGGCCGCGGGCCCAGGGAGGGAGCGGGCGGCCCCAAGGAGGAGGGGTGGGCGCGGCCGGTGGGAAGGCTGAGGGCTTCCAGCGCCGAAGGCCGCCTGGAGGGAGTGGGGAGGAGCCGAGATGCAGAATGGGGCTGGGGTGCGCGGGGCTGAACTTCGGAGGCTGAAGTTAAAGGGTTTTGAAGCATCTCTGTTCTAAACGCAGAAGAAATAGTGGGAACAAAAATAGCAAACATTACAGAACGAATACTTGTAGTGATGGGAATCTCGTCGGAAGCGGGATACAGTGTATATTAACACATTTGTATTAAAATGTCATCGTGAGTAATAGATAACCTGAGCCAGGCTGAATTGTTTCACTCTTACCTGTTCCATTGATAAGATGGCAGACCCACTCCCTTCTGAACTGCTAGGACTTCAGGAAGACTTGGTGTCTCAGATGACTTCTGTGGTAAACAAATCCTATGCTTAACTATTCTTTTAAAAACAGCTAAAATATGTGTCAGTCATTTTGACCATTCTATTTCTTTAATGTTATTAATGTATCTCACCTGCAGTATGATGGGATAATCGACTTTGCACTTGTTAGTTGCTCAGTAAAAACTGTGTCTAGATTTAAAGAACTAGTAAGGCAATGGAAATTCCATCTGCAATTTTAGCTACTTCCAAATGCACTTTGAATTAAGTTCTTAACACATCTTGAATTGTTGGGAAATAAACTAAGAAGATTGTGTAAGACAAAAGTCACACTCAGGCAGCTATTGGACTGCATGGGGTTTTCTTATTTTTATCTCTTTTTCTTCCTATTGTCTACTCCCTTTCCTTCCTGGCTCTTCCATCCCTCTTCCAATTTGGATTCATTGCATTGAAAAATTGGATACTTTTGTACAAAGATCCTGATTTCTGGTTCTTTTGGAAAATTGGAAGGTCTAGCAACACTGGGTCTATCTTTCCCTTGTGGTAATTATTTGTTGGCTGTTGGCTCTTTAGGTGTATTTTCTGGAATTCACCATCACTCCTGCATCTTAAAGTTGTCAATCAACTTACTAATTTATGTCATCAGCCTGAGCCCACTAGACATTTAAATCCACTAGGTATAAATTTGTTAACTTTCTCCTGTCCTTCTGTTGTTATCACCTCCCCTTTTAACATAGTGGTAAATGCAACAGTCTTATCTTGACTTTTTCTTTGACCTGCCTCCAGGAAATGTGAAATACTTGGTACTTACTCTGTACATTCTTGTATAGCACAATCTCAAGAGTCAGGTTGTATACAGTTTCTGGAAATGCCTGTCATATACTGAGTAACACTGACCCTTAGATTAAATTCATCACAGACAAGGAGAAACAGTTCAGGGTACCTGGAAACCACTCCCCAAGATATGGACCAATACATACTTTCTGTAAAAGGCTGGCAAAACACAACGCTATCAGAATGGGAATTGAAAATGAAACTACACAGTCTAGAACTATGGCTAAGATCATGGTTTTACTTTTCTTTGTAAGAACTGCAAATTCCTTCCTATCCTATTTTATTTGTTTATTTATTTATTTATTGTCTTTTTTTAGACAAGATTTCACTCTGCAGTTCAGGCTGCCATGAGCTCACTTTGCAGCCCAAGCTGGCTTGAACTTGAAGTGATCTTCCTGCTTCGGCCTCCCAAGTGCAGGGATGACAGGAGTGTACCACCATGCCTGGCCTTTTACTTTAACGAGGATAAAACCAAGGAAAATAAAACAGAATAAAGCCAATCAAGTATATAAACCAATATAAGTGATACGGAACTTCAAAACCTTATGAAACCAATAGTAGTTACCAAAATGCCTTTTGGTTGTCTTCAAAATAGCTGCAGATACTTTCGGACATAGTAAAAATCAAACAGTAAAAATCAAACAGAACGGAACAGAATAGAAACAATAAAGCCAAAACAGTGAATACAATAAAGGACTTCAAAACAGTCCACTACTAAATCCAAAATGGCTGCATAATAGGTCTCGTTATCTTTCAGCTAGCTGCTCATGCCATCAGATTTAATATAATCAAAATGAAGGAGAATAAAACCCAACCCAACAAAACAATGAAAATGCTACGGTTTCCCGGCCAGGCCTGCTTCCTGGTGAGGCCTGGATCCACCACACCCCACCCAACCCAGCCCCTGCAAGTCAGTCCATTTGGGTGTGGCAGCCCCCCCCTCATGCAGCGGCCGGCACATGGCACTGCTGGCACTGCTTACACACACACACACACACACACACACACGCCTGTGAAGTCTTTAAGTGGCTCAGACCCAGGGAGAGAGGTTTGGGTGTGGCTGTCTCCACTCCCACCCAGCAGCCTAGGCATGGCACTGCTTTCCAGGTGAGGATCGCCTCCTGGTGAGGCCTCAGCTGTTCTCTTTCTGGTAGTCCCATGAACTTTCTCCTCTAAGAAAAATGAAAAGGCCAAACTCTGCAGGTCCCAGCACACAGGTAGCTGTTTCTTCTGCTTAATCTTAAGAAGAAACTGCCAGCACTCTGTCTTAGAAAAAAACAACTGGTAAATTAACATACTTTGTCTTAAAAGAAAAACTGTAACATATGGAAAACCTTTTCACCTGCGTGGCTGCCTAGGCTCACTTCGTACTTTGCCCTACACACCATTGACATATGAAGCCTCTTAAACAGTACTTCATGATTTTAATTACATCCCAGATCAGTAACAGTGCCTCGGGAAACTATATTAGAGCTTGAAGCAAAAGAAACCTAGTAATAATGAGCACATCTTTATTTGAAAATTCAATGTTTTTTTAATCATGCTTTTATCTAATTTTGATTTTTAGCCTAATATGGTGGTGTACACCTGTAATCCTGGCACTTGGGAAGTTGTGAGTTAAGGGCAAACCTGGACTACATAGTGAGTTCAAGACACAGGGAGACTGTGTGTGAAAAAACTCAAAAAGAAGATAAAACCTTATGCCTGGCATGGTGGCACACACCTGTCATCCCAGCACTTGAGAGGCAAAAACAGAAGGGTTGTCAAGAGTTCAAGGCAGAGCTGGAGATTTAGCTCAGCAGTGTAAGTGCCTGCCTGGCAAATGTGAGATTTCTGGAGACTTGAGATATGGTGCAGCTACACAAGCACATGTCTGGCAAGCACAAGGTCATTAGTTTGATTCCTGGTACCAAAAAAAAAAAAAAAGTTCAAGGCCAGCCTGAACTACAGAGCAAGACTTTGTCTCAAAAACTCAAAAAAGTAAAATTAAAATGTTTCAAATTACATGAAACTATCATTTATCTTAGCAGGACATGATAGTAAAATGCCTGTAATCTCTTGAGGCAGGAGGGTCAAAGTTCAGGCCCAGCTTTGGCAATTCAATGATTTAGTGAGACCTTGTCTAAAAAAAAAGCAGAAAATGAAATTCCATATGAGGCTATCCAGTGCTGCAAAAAAAAATTTTTAATCTTGATTGCTAACTTTTTTGATTCCTTATATTTTGTAAGCACCTTAACTCACTTCCTTTTCCTTCCTTCCTTCCATTTTTTTTGGCCTAGAGATTGAATCCAACACCATCAATTGAGCTATATCCCTGTGTCCCACCCCACACTATTTTTTTTTTTTTTTACAATTTTTAAAAAATTTTGAGACAGTCTTGCTAAGTCACCAACTTGTCAGGCTATGTTCAAAGTTGCAGTCGTCCTGCTTCCGCCTCCTAAAGTGCCAGGATTACAGGTATATGCCACCATTCTTGGTCTCACTGACTTCCTTCTAGCAATAGTGGCTCCTGTGTCTCCTGTGATGTAGGCAAACTGTGATATAGGCAAACTGTGATACTGAGTCAGAGCTGATACGAATACTGGTTCTACCTGCCACTTACTGCAGGTTACTTTGAGAAAGTTGCTTTGTGTGCCCATATTTTACTCTTTTGTTAAATAATCATTTGCAAGATAATCATAAAGAACAAATCACAGGACATATTGAATATTGATTACCCTGTACCATGCAATAGTACAAAATATCCAATAAATGTGAATTCCCCTTCCCTTAGAAAATGGTAAATTTATTTATTTATTTTAGAAAATGGTAAATTTAAAAATCAAGGGTCCCCCACTGCTAAATTTGAATGGCTTAAAAAAAAATCAAGGGGCTGGGGATTTAGTTCAGCGGCATAAGCACCTGCCTTGCAAGTAGGCGGTCATGAGTTCGATCCCTGGTACTGATAAAAATGAAAAAAAGACAAAAAAAATCAATTAAACAATACATGAAGAAGCTAGGGCTGTAGCTCACTGGTACAATATGTACTTAATATGCATGAGGCCCTGGGTTTGATTCCTAGCACCACAACACACAGAAAACACAGAAATAGGCTAGTTTGGTAGCAAGGAAAGGAAGTGGGCCTATCTTGTCATAATATCAGGCTTAAATAAGCTTCAATTTAGTAATGAAACCATTAGAAAAAATAATAACAAAAATAGAAATTAATTTGCAAGATGTGAGATTAGGAAGATGAAAGTATAGGTTATCTGGGAAGGATTTTTAGAAGTTATTTTATTAAGCACATGGAGTATATCTGAAAAATGAATGCTGTTATGGTTTAGATCTAAAGTGTCTCCAGTTGTGTCATATGTTCACAGGTGGGGTTTTGGGAAGGTGATTGACTCATGAGTGAGCTATACTCATCAGTGGATGATTTCATTGATGGGTTCATAGCTGACTATGCCATTAGGAAGTCGGTCCTGGTTGGAGGTGGCCACTCGGAGGGAGTATTCTTGTCCCCAGCTTCTCCCTTCCTTCTCTGCTTGTTTTTGCCTAGGAGCCAGCCAACCACAGATGGAACCCTCTGAAGCTATGAGTCAACAAAACCTCTCCTTTCAGTTATGAGTGTTGGGTATTTTTGTTCTAGTTACAGGAAAGTAACTAATGGAATTTATAGATTCAAGAACATATACACTTACAATTTTTAAAGGTATTGCTAAATTGCCTTCCATAACATTGTACCAGTTAAAACTCCCATAAGACATTTTCATTAAATGATTATATGTATAATTGTTTACTCTATAAAAAGTAAAATGTAAAAACTCCTCTGCATCTTCTTTTTCCTGCCAATTTCATAGAAGTAACCATCAACTGCTACAATTTGGTATGCACCATCAGTTCTTGTTGTTGTCTTTTTTAAAAAAAGTAACTCCTGGGTATAATAGATACTCAGACCATTTCTCTGTGTTCTGTGGCTGAAGTGCCTGACTTAGGGGATATATAAAAGTTTAGACTTTATTCTACACAGTTGTACACATGTATTTACATGTTTAAATATGGTGGGTTTTTTTCTTTATAAGTGAAGTCATGTTATAGCTTTTAGTCTATCATTCTTTTTTTATCGGTACCAGGGATCAAACTCATGACTGTGCGCTTGCAAGGCAGGCACCTATGCCACTGAGCTAAATCCCCAGCCCCT